TCGCAGTCTGCTTCAGAAGTTGAGGACGAAGGCTGGGTCATTACCGAATCAACTGACAGGGTGCACCGTACCGACAAGAAAAGCCCAGCTGCGAAGCGCGTGTGGCTTGATACCACTCTACCCGACGCACTCATCGATACTACCGACGACCTCAAGTTGCCATTAGAAGGTGCGCGATCATCCCAGCAGTCACTCGACAAGGTCTCGCCAGACGCCAATACCCCAACCTCACCTAATGACGTCTTCCTCTCTGCTACCAGTCTGCCCATAGTGCAGGTTGAAAGTCGCGACTCCGACACCATGCCCGCTGTTGTCGAAGACCGATCGATGCACAGCGAGCCCACTGATGCAGAGCGTGAACGTGCATTCCAGATTTACAGCGGCGATGATTCCTCTAGTCTGAAGGCCCAAGCGGCTACCTTGTTGGGCGATGTCAGCTTGTCCAGCACGCGCATGCGAAAGGCCTTTATGGACCTCTTTGACTGGACAGGCATGAACATCTTGGCTGCTATGCGTGACCTTTGTGGCAAAATCATTCTCAAGGCCGAGACTCAGCAGGTTGACCGCATTCTCATGAGTCTCTCAGAGCGCTGGTGTGAATGCAACAGCAGCCATGGCTTCAAGGCAGTCGGTAAGTAGCTCACTTTGCTATGAAGAAACACAGCTGACCGACGACAGATGTCGTCCATACTATTTGCTATTCCATCCTGCTGCTCAACACAGATTTGCACTTGGCTGATATCGAGTCGAGAATGACACGAAGCCAATTTGTCCGTAACACACTCCCTACAGTCACTCGCGTCTGTCAAGATTCAGTCAAGGCTGCAGGAGAAGAGACGCTAAGGCCACATTCCACTCACTTCCGAAGACCATCCCTGCCATGGAATGAGAAGTCAGAACCCAGCTCGCCGGGTCCTGACGCTACTACATTCTCTGCGGATGTGGAGGAGCCTGCGGAGGCTAGGAAAACCCGCAGTCGTCTCTCCATCCGACCTCCTGCTAGAAGTGGCTCAGAAGGTCTACTTTCCTTTGACTCTGCAGTATCCGAGTCTAACACACTTGTCAACTCGCCATACAATGGTCCTATGCGAGGATGGGAGTTCCAGGTCGAGACGGTGCTCAAAGAGTTCTACGATTCTATTCGTAAACAACGCTTGCCCCTCCATGGGTCTTCCGAACCTGTTGTTCATCATCAGCCTTCGTCCAACAACCTCTCCGTCAGCAACATGCTCCGCCGCACTCCCAGTGTGTTGAGCAAAGCACCGTCCGACAACACGAGCTACCGTGGTCGATCCCAAAACGATTTCCGCAATGTGGGCAGTCGATGGGCCTCTAAGAACCGCTCAAAGCAAAGATTGTATCCTTCATCTACCGTGGCATCTAGCCGAACCAGTCTGGACGACGGATCAGTATGGAGCCCCGCCGGATCCAGCTCTTGGAGTCGTTATTCGTACGGCAAGACCGGCACTTCCATGTCGGTGGACTCACTGGGCTCACACTTTGCGCATGGCGACTATCAACAGGCTATCGGCTTTGCCAATGCTCTTAGTCAAGCCATCATCCGTGAAGAGGGCATGACTATTGCTAGCGATGAAGAATTCTCCCGTGTGGCTCCGTTGTTGGAAGACGAGACACTCGAGCTTGTTGGAGCACCCTGGGCCAAGGAAGGTATCCTCAAGCACAAGCGACATCTTGATTCAGTGGATAGGAAGGCAAAGGATCGAGCGTGGAATGAATGCTTCGCTGTCGTCGAGAAAGGCTGTATGCGTTTATTCTCTTTCAGCATGAACTCCAAATCTGTTAGGCAGAAGAGCAAGCTACGACCATCTGCTGGTGGTGTTGTAGGAGGCGGCAACTGGATGGACAATGCGGAAGCTTTGGACAGCTTCCCACTCCGCCAGACTATCGCCAGCGCGCTACCTCCTCCAGGATACTCGAAGACAAGGCCTCACGTATTCGCGCTTTCACTCCCTACAGGAGCAGTTCATCTTTTCCAAGTTGGAACACCTGACATCTGTCGAGAGTTTGTGTGCACCGTCAACTACTGGTCGGCTCGTTTGTCCAAAGAACCTCTCATGGGTGGTGTCAGCAGCATGGAGTACGGTTGGGGTGAGAATGTCATCAACCCAGCTCTGATCCGTCAAGACAGTGCGCCATCAGTGCAAGGCCATATGCCCCGTCCGAGTGTCACAAGCTCCCTTCGTAGTTCGATGGACCATGCCACCGGCACACCAAAGCCCAGACTTCCCGGAGATAAGGTCGTCTTATCGGATTGGAGCCCACCAGCATCAAGCATGATGGCTAGTACCCTGATGGAAGTGGATCAGCTTAGAGCTCTTACCGACTATGTTAAGAACATTGAGACCGAGCTCGCTCACCACAACGAACTCAGAGCGCCATTGCTCATTGCCGTAAGTATCACCTTCCCGCTTTTCCATGATCATGACTAAGACACAATATCAGTTTTCGCCTCGACACCCCAATGCTCAGAAGGCCATGGCCAACTGGGAGCGCAAATCGCAATACCTTCTCAGGGAAATTGTGAAATTCCGGACCTATATTGACACTCTAGCAACTGCACAAGCGCAGAAGCAAAAGATTTATGCCGAGCGCGAAGCTCGTGAACAACAAGAGATGGAGGAGTCAGAAAAGGAAGCAGTCGCTACTCCGAAGGCCACTGAAGATGATGGTGCGAATGAAGCTTCCGAGCCTGCTCCATCCAAGACCATGCCAAACCCAGCTCTACCAGCAGCTTTCCTTTTACATCCCTGATCGCTGCCTTTCTGATTCTGGCATATACTGACGATTGATTTCTTTGTTACGAATAGTTACTCCTCTGAGGCGCACGATACGGCGTTTGCAACTGCTTCATTCGTCAAAGCCGAGTTTGAGACAGCGGCCGCACTCGGTGTCCTGACATCTTGTTATACCTATTGTAATATGTACGATTTCTGTACGTTCGGCGTCTTGAGCAGTTTCTTTTTTTTCCCTACCACCTTTTCAGTTTAGTATGTTACTGCTTCATTCCAACGAACAAGACGATCAACCGCGAAAGTCATTTTGTATGGACGGTACTTTGTGTACGATTATATTCGCTCTCAGCCATTATCAAGCTCGGGAAGATTGATGATGCATTATGGTTTTCATGGGATGGAGCTTGGTTCTTTGCGGTTATCCATTAGAAAGGGTGGAAGAGCACGATGAAGAAGCAATTGTTCAGACATTATACCCCACGTTTTCGAATAGCATACTTTCGATACTAGCTCCTGTTCCTTGGCTTTCTTGACATGGTTACGCGTGTCTATATCTGGTGTGTTAACGTAGCATACATGACAGCTGGGAGTAAACGCACGTGGTTTGTCGCACAGCTTGCATGCGTATACACCGATTGACGAACGGCATCTCGTTACATCGCCCTCAGCCACTCTACATACCCTAGTCTTGAACAACGCACATGGCGACGATAGCTCAGAGTGCTGTAGCTTACTATTCAATGTAACTCCCATAGCCACCACCACGACATCAATGATGCTATTCAAGAAGCTCATTGCGCCCATTTCGAACTACTACTGCAGCTAGAACAACAGCGCGCGACAAAAGCGCAGCAGCGTTACGCCGAACACATTCGTAGTATCTACTCTTCTCCCAATCATTGTGTCTCGAGCCAAAATACCATTCGGTCCTCGCCGTTGGCGTGCAGCGTTCTGCGCAAGCCACACGAGGGGCTAGATTGTCCTAGCGCCAGCCTTTGAAGACAGGGTGCAGCAGCCAGCGCTTTGGTGTGCTTTGGTGTAAGGACCTGAACTGGATGGAAGAGTGCCCGAAAGGCTGCTTGCCACTACGCAAAGGTGGGATCGCGTAGACGGTGACAGGACGGATTGAGAAGAGGCTGATGGCACAGCATGTAGCCAAGTGGTGTTGTATGCCTATCGCGTTACAGGCCGCATTCGGCGGGGCGCATGATGCTGTGTAGGAGATGTGGCTAGGGGCAGGGTAAATGGTAGATGGCTGAAGTAAGGGCCGATGGGTTGGTTTCGGAGATGGACTGGGATGGCAGAGTACCTATGTTAGAGGATTTGGAAGGAAATGATATGAGAGACTTTGCGATGGGTAAGCACATAGGAATGCAGAAGTATAGATAGCAATTAGAGTTGCAAAAGCAAGAATATCATGACCGAATGTCGCCCAAAGTATTGCAATCCCTCCCATATCCAGAACAGATGCCGTACAACAGCATTAGTCGAGCCCAGGTCCAAGGAAACAGATCTGCCCCTAGTTGGACCCACCCTGGCCCTAGGGATCGTCGGTGTTGCCGTCTCGCGTACGAGACCGGACGAGCTAACTAGCCTTGTAGCTCGCTGGCATCGTGGCATCCCACGCGACCCCATGTCACGAATGGCAGAAAGAGGCTTCGACGGGAAGAGGAGGGACGAATTGGGCATGACGGACTGTTTGACGAATGGGAGGGCTACTGCGACGGGAGATGCGGCACTGGGGACTTGTCGTGCCTTGGGCCCACCAGCCAGACTGCCTTGACAGGCCTTTTCCGTTTTCTTTCATCTCCGTAGCGACTTATTTCCATCGTGCACGCCCCTAAATTGTCTGGATTCCCTACTGCTCTCAGAGACCCTCAGCCGTGTTGCCTATTGTCGAAATTGGTCTTGTCTACTCAGACATCTGGAGTTGAGTGAGATTTGAAGAGGCCCACGGGTTTGGAAGCTTGGATGCATCATCGGTAGCTTTGTCAGAGCTCAGCCTTAGCCATCCTTACCAGCCAAACCCCGCGCTACTACCGCATCTCTCGACGTTACCGACGCACCGTCAGCCGCACTCTATTACAGGACTGACGACCGCTTTCTTTCGCGTCTTATTTGAAGCAGTGAAGAGCGCGCTCCCAAACGGGCATTTGATCTCCCATCGTTCACGGCTATTCGGCATCTCCGCCTGAACGCGCGCACTTTGGAAGAAGCCCCAACCTCAATCGCACACTGTAACTCGACATGTCCTACTATCCCGGCCAGCAATACCACGGCGGCGGTGGCTACGGCGCCCCTCCACCGCCTCAGAATGGCTATGGTGGCCCGCCTCCGCAAGGATACCCGCCTCCACAGCAGAACTACGGTGCTCCGTGAGTAGAGAAGGACGAGTAATGCTCCACGGGTGCTGACGGATACCAGTCCCCCACAGCAATATGGATACCAGAGCCCACAACCACCCTACAACAACAACTATGGTCAACCTACGCCGCCTCCGCAGCAGTATGGATACAACCAGGTACGCATATGGCATGCTGACAAGGAAACCATGGCTGGAGTAGAGGCTGATTTGCACAGGGACCACCACCACCACAGCAGTATGGCAACTACGGCCCACCGCCTCCGCAACAACCTCCCCGTCCAGGCATGATGCCCACAGCCAACAGCAATCAATGGACACATGGAAACCACAACGCGCCCCCACCACCGCCCTCGGGCGCACAGAACTTCGGCCACGGCGCACCCAACGGCTATTCGTTTCAATACTCGGCATGCAACGGTCGACGGAAAGCCCTCCTGATCGGTATCAACTACTTCGGCCAACGAGGACAGCTTCGCGGCTGCATCAACGATGTGAAGAACATGAGCACATACTTGAACGAGTTCTTTGGCTACAAGCGGGAGGACATGGTCACGTTGACCGACGACCAGCAGAACCCCATGAGCCAGCCGACTAAAGCCAACATCTTGAGAGCGATGCATTGGCTGGTCAAAGACGCAAGGCCAAACGACTCTTTGTTCTTCCACTACTCAGGTGCGCCCCTGCTTTTATACCGTGCTGCTTTCAGCCATGCTAACCCACACTAGGCCACGGCGGTCAAACCAAGGATCTCGACGGCGACGAAGATGATGGCTACGACGAGGTCATCTATCCAGTGGATTTCCGCACGGCCGGTCACATTGTCGACGACGAGATGCACCGTATCATGGTCACACCCCTCCAGCCCGGTGTGCGACTCACCGCCATCTTCGATTCTTGTCATTCCGGCTCCGCCCTTGACCTGCCTTACCTCTACTCCACCCAAGGTGTGCTCAAGGAGCCCAACTTGGCCAAGGAAGCTGGTCAGGGTCTGCTGGGCATCGTGGCGAGCTATGCGCGTGGCGACATTGGCAGCATGATTGGTGGTGCCACAAGTCTGTTTAAGAAGGCAATGAATGGAGATGAAGTGCACAAGAAGAACCTAAGAACGAAAACTAGCCCTGCCGACGTAATCATGTGGAGTGGCTCCAAGGATACGCAGACTTCGTAAGTCTCTCCCCAACCCACCTCTAGATTTGATGCAGGCAATACTAATGCTGGACACTTTACAGGGCCGACGCAAGTATTGGTGGAGAAGCTACGGGAGCCATGTCTTGGGCTTTCATCTCTTCGCTCCGCAAGAATCCTAACCAAAGCTATGTACAACTGCTCAACAGCATCCGTGATGAGCTGCAGGGCAAATATGACCAAAAGCCTCAATTGAGCTGCAGTCATCCGTTGAGTGAGTGCTTTCCCATACCTCGCTATGAACGGGAATGGCAAACTGATTGAAATAGATACCGATTTGCTGTACGTCATGTAGACGTATTTTTTCCCGCAGATGAGGTTGTTGTAAGATGAGGCTATAATTCCGGATTTGGTCGTAGGGAATACTGTCTGACAGAGTGATACCATGACGCACCCATCCTTGGATGAAGAAGAAGTAGTAGTTGGGTGCAAAAATGCATTTTATCATGATCGAGTATACAACTTCTTTTGTATATACTTGGGGACGAGATACGACGGCGTTTCGAACAGGTCATTTGCAGTCATTGGAAGAGGGTGATCTTGGGGTAAAAGGAATCGTTATTCATTGCCATAGGGTATCGAACTTTCTTGTCTATCAAAGCTCGTCGACATGTATCCCTCTTGTAGCGCCATCGCTATCCATTATCATCGTTAATCATGATGCAACCGTATACTTCTGTGGTTGTTAAAGAGGCCTTAGAGCACTCCCTCAAAAGGGTATCTTGACTTCTCACCTGCTCACACCCTAAACATCAGCCATCTCCTCATCAACCCAATCTCTCCAACTCCTCCACTCGCCCCAGCCCAACCCCACCTTCTTCCCCTGGTACCTCACAACCCTCAACGAAACCTTGTTCCAATCCGCCTTCTTGCCATTCCATCCAGCCTTCCTCATTAGACTAACCAGCGCTTCTTCCTTGGTCCACCCTTGTTCGCTCGCAACATCAGGCAGATACGTACTCCCGTAGCGTCTACCCTTTTCGTGGAAACTGATCCGCAAGCCATGTTTGCCAATCTCCCAATCCATGGCATCGTCAACAGGCTCAAAATCTGTGAGGAGAGTGACAGCGCATTCGAGGGTTGGCAATTCGCGTGTGGTAATAGGCGAGAAACGCGTATCGTCGAATGCGGCCGTCAGCGCGTAGTCAGAGAGACCTTTGGTGAGTGGTTGTGCTTCAAAGGTCCCGATACAGCCCCGGAGTCGCTTGTCGCCAGAACGTGAGATTGTGTTCCACGTTACGAATAACGGATGCTCTTCCTCCTCCTCTTCCTCGCCTTCTTTGTCAGTCAAGTTTGTAGAACTGCTGCTCTGGCTTGTAAGACTGCTTGGTGTCTCGCTGCTCGGGCCACTGGGCGTCGAACTTGCGCTTTGCAGGCTTGAGGAGCTAGCTGACGAGGGAGGAGAGGCTAGGATACGCGATATAGCGGCGGGTTTGTATGAGCCATCTGCTGATACGGACGCGGACGCGGATGCAAGTGCGGCTTGTTCTGCTTGTTCTGCTTCGGTCTCATCTTCGAGCTCAGAGGTTGTGGTGGGTTCCGAGTTATATTTCGCCCAGAGGTGTTCGACTTGGGCTAGAGTGAGAGAAGGGCGCTTCTCGAGACTTGCGACAAGGCTTTCGAAACAATATGCGCAGTGCGCTTGTGTAGCCATGGTGGGGTGTTGGAAGGACCGACGCTGACGTTCGATGGGAGCGAGTAGGCGGGGGTTTGAAGGGCTGGCTGGACGCACGATCGGGGAGGACTAGATAGTGGAGAAAGAAGGATTGGAAATATAGCCTTTTACAACACAAGATAGGAAAGAAGTATGACGGCTGAATCCGGGGTGTAGGGCTGCTAGCTGATCGGGTCGGGTTGCGGCAGGGCTGTGCAGTAACGTCAGGAACCGGAACGTCTCGGCCGACTTGCCTCCGCGGAGAGATTCCAAGAGCGTGACGATTGTCTGTCGATATATGGCAGTTGTGCACGCTGTCGCACCAACTCCGGAGGGCCGACGTAGTTACCAGAGAGAGAGGGAGCAATGTGACGGAGGTGGTGAGGCGCCAGAGATAACCCCGCCGATCCGGCAAATGGTACCTTGGGAAGGCGTCATCATCTGAAATGAACAAAAGGAGATGCACAATCTGGAGAGTAAAATGTTATTCATTGCGATACAACTGAATGTATACTATTTTGCGAGATACTATCTGCACAAGCTCCCTAAGAGATGCACCGAAAGTCCCAAAACTCTGATTCAACAGTTGGTATGTAACCCCATCTTCATGCACACGTACCTTATGGGGTAAAAGGTCGTGTGTTTGGTAATGATGGGGATGATTGTTCTTGCCACGATAGATATTCCTTCAGCAGGTCGAGCATGGGAGAGCTCTGTTGCTGTACACACTAATGGCTGGGTTGAGGTTGGTGCCTCGTTGATCATGTCTCTCACTTACCTGAAGACGTTGCGAACGGTCAAACAGCCTAACACATCACTTGGACAGTCGCGCGCTGGTGGAACCGACCTGACTTTTCGACTTATTTCATTGCCACATTTCATGCCTGCGGTAGGCGTGAAGCCGCGTGCTCCAATCCCTTGAGTTCGAAGCTGTCATAGAAAGTCCGAATGCCATTGACGCCGACCAGATGTCTCATAAAGGAATCGAAAACCGCCATCGTCGCTCGCTCGTAATCGTATCGTCCTTTATGCCGCGTCGCGCTTGCCCTCCTTGACCTCCTTCTGTATGGTTGTTAGCGAGCCGCGTTTCCGTGTAGGAGTGAGCCGTCGGTACGCACCAAAGCGCGCATGGTGCCGTGAAGAGCATGCCTGTGGTTCCTCCTGAACTTGGGGTCGGTTCCCTTGAGCGAGGGGTAACGGTGGGTCTTGGGCTTCTTGATACTGCATTGCCATTGTATCAGCTTTTGGTTCTCAACAACGCATTCACGATCCTTCGCGTTGTAGATGGACTATCCGCGGATTCATGGCGCGTGCGATGGAGGAGGGTGATGCGTACCCGTTTCGGTGGTTCTTCTTGGACTGGTTGTGCTGGGACGAGTTCTTGGATTCTGCACAGTTGCATTAATATCTTGGCAGTAACAAGTGAGTTCTTGTAGACGTACTGGCCATGGCGACGGTTGTTGTTGTCGATTTGGCTTTGTGGTATTGTCGAAGAGCTGATGTCGGAACTGGTCGAATTTGCGCTCTGTCTGTGGTCACCAGTAAGCGAGTAGTTACTGGCGCTAGTGCGTCTTGGTGCATAATCCCTGGCCCTGGCTTTGCACATCTCGCGCCATCACCATCACCATCATCATCGCCACATCCAAGCTATGATCAACGCTTCCTACTAGTATCTACAAAGCGATTACACATATTTCATGGAGTGGTGGCCATAACACCACTCGCGCGGGCCTCGCGTTGTCGTCGCATCACCTTCGACTCCAGCGAGCACCACGGAAACGATGCCGTGACTAGCAGACACTCGCCTATCTCGTAAGGTGGTCTCATGAACAAGTCGGGTTCTTAAAAACCTATCAGGCTGTACAGGTATGTTCATGGATGTAGTGTTGACGTCTACGTTCTGTCTATCCAAATTGGCGTATGCCATCCATCTTCATCGCCTAGTGCCATCCTTGTTCGTAAATTCTTCGTCACTATCTTCTACCCAACCCATGGCATCCGGACATATCGTAGACCACATCTCGGAACACTGTGGAAGAGCTGTGTATTGCGAAAACACCCAGAGTGCAGTCCCGACATATCGCACCTGTCGTACGAAGAGGCTCAACTCTATCGAGTCGGTCCCCGACCATACTACACACTAAAGGTATGCAATACATTATGTGTTCTACTATGTTAGCGCAAAATACTGCGTATACTTCTAGAGTATACTAAAATGTAGGGTTGACATAAGTGCTGGGTCTATTCAATAAAAAGAGCTCCTTCATACGTGCTGTCTCAGCTGCGGCACTACTGTTTCCTTTGTCGCTTTGCCCTACCAACATTTCAAGTCATGCAAAGCTAGTCACCATTTTGACGTATCATGGCTTGTCCTTTGACGATCAGCGGAAAACGTGCGGCACTGTTCCATCACTTGGCTTGCTTCTTCCCCGCAAAGCGGAAGCGTAACCGTTCACCGGGTGTGCAAGTCGGCGAAAGGCGACCTCATCTGATTGGCTACAACCATCAAGTTTCGTCCACCCTTACTGATGTAAGAGGAATTGCATGCAGCTACAAAGCGCCTGTCACACAAGCATTACTACTATTTATCCTGCAACCCAAGTCTTAGCAAGCGCCGCGTCCTCTACCAAATCAACCATGGCGAATCCGGCTGAGAAACCATCGAGTTTGCCAGACAATAAGATCGAGATCATCAACGATACCCATGGAAATAACATAGACCCAATCGCTGAGAAGAAGCTACTTCTCAAGTGCGACCTTCGCGTTCTTCCGCCCCTCTTTGTCCTGTTCCTCTTAGCGTTTCTGGATCGTGTCAACATCGGTACAGTCATCCATTTCTAGTAGTGTGTTCACTGCACTAACGTGCCTAGGCAATGCGAAGATACAAGGACTAGTCGAAGACCTGGACATGACAGGACCGCTGGCTTATCGCTACAATATCGCTCTATTCATATTCTTCGTTCCTTACATCCTCTTCGAGGTGCCGTCAAACTTGATCTTGAAGAAGCTCAAGCCTTCAACATGGCTCAGCTTGATCATGGTACTCTGGGGTGAGTTCTGATTATCTTCGTATGTGTCCATACTAATGATAATCAGGCCTCTCAACCATCGGGATGGGACTCGTGAACAATTTTGAAGGCTTGGTAGCCATGCGCGTTCTGCTAGGCTTCTTTGAGGCAGGATTGTTTCCTGGTGTGTGATAGATTTACATTAGGATATGAGCTTCAAAACTAACCTTGCATAGGTTGTGTGTACCTCATCTCGATGTACTACAAGCGTTATGAGCTACAATGGCGCCTCACACTGTTCTTTACTGCAAGCATCATCGCTGGCGCCTTTGGAGGTGTAAGTATTCCCGCGTCACTTTGTGGCTCAGACTGACTTTCCCCAGCTCCTCGCATTTGCTATTGCTAAGATGGACGGCATTGCAGGTTATGGAGGATGGTAAGAACCCAAATCTACCAAATACATGCGGGACAGACACTAACTCTACAAACCAACGATCTAGGCGGTGGATTTTCATTATAGAAGGTATCATCACAGTTGTGGCTGGTATTGTTACAAAGTTCTGGGTCACAGACTGGCCCGAACAGGCAAAGTTCCTCAACGAGGAAGAGAGAGCCCTTCTCATAGCACGACTCAGTGCCGATACCGGTGATGCTGTGATGAATAGGCTGGACAAGAGAGCAGCGAAGAGGATATTTTCCGACCCTAAAATTTACCTGGGAACAGCTGCATACTTCGGTAAGAACCTTTGTTGTCCTCTCCATCTTCTTTTTCAGACACATGCTGACCATACACCCCCACGTGTAAGGAATCGTGAATACTGGCTATGCTGGGTCTTTCTTCACCCCAACAATCGTCAAAGAACTCGGCTACACCTCCGCCGCCGCCCAGGTACGGTCGATTCCCATCTTTGTGGTAGCAACTATCACTGCGGTCATCACGGCATGGCTGACCGATCGCCTCCGCCATCGCTACTGGTTTTGTATCTTCGGTCTCGTCGTCGCATCGATTGGGTACGTCATGCTTCTTGCGCAAGACAACCTCTCAGCTGGCGTCAAGTACTTTGCCCTCTTTCTCATTGTACCGGGTGGTTACATCACTCAGCCTGTTGTGCTCGTTTGGATGTCCAACCTTGTATCTGGACACTACAAGCGATCCGTCAGTTCTGCGATGCAAGTTGGGTTCGGAAACCTAGGAGGCATCGTGGCGAGCAACATCTTTTTGCAGAGTGAAATGCCGACATATCCGACAGGATACGGAGTTAGCCTGGGTATGTTGTGGATTTGTGGTGCCGCTTGCACGGCACTTTTCTTCATGGTAAAGTGGGAAAATGCGAAGAGGGAGAGGGGTGAGCGGGATGGGAGGCTGCAGGAGGTAGATGCCGATAATTTGGGTGATGACCATCCAATGTTCAGGCTCACGTCTTGAATTAAGGATGCGCGAGTTCAAGCCACTTCTATCAGCGATACACCCATCAGGTTTGCATTGAACAGAGTGAGCAGAGTGATGAAAATGGCGTCCAGCGAGCATGTGTTCGGCTTCCTGTATGAGTACTCTGATTCGCGTGATGCAGATGTCATTCCTACAATATCTGCCAGTCTTTGTCGGTGTCCATAGGACTCATCGCGGCGTCGGTCCAATCATCTTCAGATTCATGCCCAAGTTCGGTATCGGATTTGTCGACCTGAGAGGAGGGAGACGCCTCGTGAAACTCATCATCACTCGTTGACTTATCTCCTGCCGTACCAAGCTCTTTGTGTAGAGCCTCATGAGCATCGTCTTGTTTACCCAAATTGTCTTCTTGAGTCTTATCGTCTTGAATTTCCTCAATGAACGTCTCTGACCGTGTTCTGTGCGGTACCGCACTCATATCTTCCAAGAACATCCTAGAATCATTGTATTCTCTAGTCTCTTCATTCTACCGGTTGCATCGAACGGCAATAGTGACATCTTCTCTGTGTAGAAGGACATTGAACTCGCTCGCCGCACTGTAAAGTTTCATCTCATCATCCCAGATGTTGAGGTGCAGCATCTTGAATCCTGGCAAGTGTTGCAAGATGTATCCGCTTAGCTCCGAGTATGCTCTCCTAGTCGCAGCGTCGGAAGCGTCTTCTTCGTAGGGCTGGACTAGAAGGGATAGACATGAGACATGTTGGCGGGCTGATACGCTGATGCTCTCCAACCACTTGTGTGTAGCATATGCCTGGTACCGTCCGCGCGGGCAAGGGCCTGTTAGGAAAAGAAAGTTCCGACTTCCATACGCTATCGGCTCCGCATCGTCGTGAATCTCATCCCGTCGGTCCTTCTCCTCTTTTGTCGCAGGCCTTAGCATATTGATTGGCCCGTGAGGTGCTTGTAATACCCATAGCCCTTCATCTCCTGTTTTAAAGCGGAGCTCAGGGCCTGCACAACTATAGCGGGTGTAGATGTGACCTGGCTCGTTTTCGTCTTGCGAAAGGAGATTGTATCTTGGACAACGGCAAATATCGATCTGGGTGTGTCCGACGAAAGTGGTGTTACTGGGATTCTCAAGATAAGGCCAATCCAGAGTGTAGTTGAACGTCGTTACATCATCTGGTGTTGAGGGATGTGGCATTGATTGGATTGGGCTTTGGTACATAGCATCGGCTTGAGGAAAGGCTCCTGATCTCAGATGCGTGGTGATTGGATACTACAAGTTCCGACTGAACTCAAGACTTCCTTACTGCAACACGATGTTGCCGCCCAAGTCAAAAGAAGGGAAGCAAGGAAGGTGGTGGTTGAATTCGGTTCACTTCCTTACTTTTTCGTCAAATCGCCCAAACACGAGGCTGTTAATAGGTCATAATGCATACCGCTATTCTCACTACGCCGGAAATACCAAGCACGCTATAGGAGAGTCTGGCTAAGAATAGGCGAACGCGTTGACACAGCTGAGTACGAGACGGCGAGAGGAAACCAAAGACAAGCGTGGGGTAGGTCAGCGATGGTGGTGGTGGTGTTGTCGGTGAAGTACATCAGAGCTCAGAAATGGGCATGGCGGGTGAGACGTGCATATAGGAGCTATTTGTGGGGTCCGGTGAACAACAGGCATATGTATGAGGTGACGGCCTGGCACGGATAGTGCACTTCCGCGCATTTTGTTTATGCAGAGGTGTCTCTAGAGGCGGAATGGTAGTCAGACAACCCTCGAGTCGATCATCCGGTGTCGATGACAGCGCAGCAACGTCATTGGTCCATGCGTGATGGATCACCTGGGTAAGCGTCACGATCACCGAGCTTCGCGACATGCACGCCTTTGTTGACGCGCCATGTCATAACAAACAACAATCCGCTGTGTGGATGACCCTCGCCCGCTGTCTTGATGGCCGAGACTGGGAACGCTGAGCCCCAGACGCCGATCTCTGAGGGGCCCAGCTCGCCCACGACGCCGACGCAGAAGAGCAGCAATGGTTCGGCCAAGTCGATGACAGGGGAGCCGATTGAGCAGCAGGACTTTGCCAATCCGACGCTCAGTATAATACGAAGCTTCTCGCGCAGCACCTCTACAGGCTCGCTGGCGTCAAAAGAAGAAGCCCCGCCGCCGCTGCCACCACGACCCGGACTCGGTCTGCTTTCACGACCCTCGACGTCGCACTCTACAGCGCCCGGGAGACCACAGCTCCTTTCCAAAGCCACCACACAGCTGTCCGTGGCGAGGACACAGGCATTTGCCATAGACGCCAAAGATGAGTCGCCAACGTCCTCTGGGCCCAAGCCGCGCGACGTCCTGGGCGCAAACCTAGGCGCTCATAACCTCAGCGACGCCGACGACAGCGCGAGCATACGCAGCTATGCGCCAACGATAGACGCAGCAGGGTACCAGGAGAGCATACTGGGCGAAGTCATGGGCCAGGTTGAAAAGTCGGAGCAAGAGAAGTCGCTGCTCAGGACATTGGGTCACAAATTCGTCGATGCCGAAGCGCAGAGCATGTTTCCCCCAGATCCATATTTCGAGGCAGCTTTCCATCGCGAGTTTGACGACGTCGACGACATGGCTATGGACGGATCGAACGAAGGTCAGACGCATGGCATGTACCTAGACGTAGCTCTTACTGATGTAGTCAATAGAAGCCGTGATGCACCAGTGGCGCGCAAAGCTGAAGCATTTCCTCATCCTCTCGAGTGCCGGCAAACCTATATATAGCCGACACGGCGACGACCAGCTCATCACAAACTACATCGGCGTCGTACAGACCATCATATCCTTCTACCAATCCACCAACGATACATTGAGAGGTTTCACAGCGGGACATGTACGCTTCGTCGTCATGTCAAAGGGCCCGCTCAACCTGGTCGCCATCACACGGCTTCCAGAGAGCGACTCTCAGCTTCGGTCGCAGCTGGAAGCACTCTACATGCAGATCCTATCCACCCTTACCCTTCCTAGTATGGAGCGCATGTTTGCTGCACGCGCCAATTACGATCTCCGTAGACCGCTGCAGGGCACGGAGACGCTACTATCAGCGCTTGCAGATGGCTTCACAAGAGGCTCACCATCGACATTGCTCTCCGCTCTCGAGTGTCTCAAGCTTCGCAAATCCCACCGCACCACCATCAACAACACCCTCTTGAAAACCCGCTCCGACAACCTGCTCTACGGTCTCTTGGTAGCATCCGGAAAGCTCGTGTCTGTTGTCCGACCCAAGAAACATAGTCTACACCCCGGCGACCTCCACCTGATCTTCAACATGCTCTTCGAAGCTGGCAGCGTCAAGGCTGGGGGTGGAGAAAACTGGATCCCACTATGCTTACCAGGCTTCAACAACACCGGTTACTTGTACATGTACGTCAGCTTCCTCAACCTAGAACACCCAACGGAGCAGATGCAAGAGCGACCTCGCACGAGCGACGGCGCGGACGATGAGGTCGCGGTCCTCCTGATTAGTGCAGAGAAGGAAAGCTTCTTCGAGCTTAGACGTATGAGGGATGATTTAGTCGAGGTAGGCTCACCCGGTTTCCTTACACTCCTTTACAAAGTCTCCTTATTGTCCAGGATACCGGGATGGTACATCAGGACGCGTGGATCGTTGGTCAAGTGGTCTCTCCGTGCCGTCCCACGACGTTGTCCCGTGCCTTGAGATTATGCCATCGAACCATGTGGGCTCGCACGGAATCGGAGGGTAAATTCCCTCATTTTTTTCGGCCTTCTCTCATGGGTTCTCATGGGATTATTCCCGTATACCGTATTGTACATCTGCCGTACAAGGCTCACGGGCCACCGTTGCCATTCGGCTTCGGACGTCAGCAGCTCCGATGCTCCTTGTCGTACCTCCGCCTCGGATTCCGTGTCTCCCCTACCTTTCGCCCCGTTCTCACATCCCCTCGGCCTTTCGGCCGTACCGCTCGTCTGGTTCGTGTTCGACTAGGATTACCTGAGAGTAGAGCGGTGCACAGAGAATCGCACTAGTTAGATGTATTTTTTGGCTAACGGGTATTTCCGCAGAACTTGCAGCGCAATGGATCCATTGAGGCTATACGTACAGCGGTCCAGCAAGGGCGTCCCACTTGCACGGATATCGTGCCCGGGAGTCCGCTGAGACACTTTCTGTACAAGTCAAGGGGTAACGTGCAGTTTACCATGCCGAGTTACACACCGTATTTTGAAGGTGACTTGGAAAGGAGACGGTATGTGGCTCTTTGCATCCATGATCTTACCATTCTTTTCCCCTGGCACTATCCCGCTTTGCATGATTCGTTTTCGTCATGTACTATTACCAAGACGCCTTGCTAATACTCATCTTCTGTCTAGATTGATCAACCTCTACAGCAAACTCCATAGTAATGTGCACAACAAGCCATCAACGCTCAAAGTGCATCATGAGACGAACACGACGTGTATAGCGTTGGCGTGGAGTACACCGCTGTTTGAACTATATGCTGTTGCACCGGCCAATACATCGAGGGCTGCGCTGGCGCAGAGTGCGAATAAAGTCATTCAGTGGGTGCGACGAGAAGAAGAAAGGGTATTCATTATAGGAGGCGCTGTATTCTGATAGATCATCCATGCAAGGTAAGAAGAACCACGGCGCTATAATACCCATCAATGCAGAAAATCATAAGAGTATGTGTAATACACATTGTATCATTCTTCTTATCTTACCTGTGGTTCGAACAACCATCTTAGCTAAGCTTTTGGCAAGACACCGGCTCCCTTCATTTGCTCAAACACATCTTTCAAACTCGCCCACGTATCCCTATACCCTGTCCAACCGCACTCCCTCGCCTTACTCATACTAATCACCAGATCGAAACTGCGTCCCAACACGAAGCCCAGGAAAGCCCAAGTCGCTTTGTCGAAGATCTCCTTATCCAGGCCTTTGCGCTCGGCAAAGCTTTCCCACGCACTCTTGACATCAGTACGTTGCGACCACTTGACCAGATCAATTTGCTGCTCCACAACACTCTTCTGCAGTACCGGCGTTCCCTGAATGCCAATCTCGTTTGCTACCACACTAATGGGAGGTTCAGGCGCCATATCCATGGTACTCCACATGTCCCCATCGCTACTATGTGCACCCTCGAACTGATTGCGTTTGACGCTGCCACCAAAATACTCGACGACTTTAGGCCAAAGGTTCTGCCAGCTCTCCACATCACCGTTGACGACGTTGAAAGCCTGGTTTGCAGCGCGTGGCTCGAGAGCAGCCCAGTTACAGAACTCAGCATGGAGTTTGGATGATGTGAAGGAATCGAATTTTGTGTAAAATGCAGGGGAACCGGGGAAAGTAAGGCCATCATTACCGGAGAGTTCCTTGGATACGAGGGCGTAGAGAGCGATGGCAGTGGAAAGATTCATAAAGTTTCCCATTGCAAATCCAATGACGTCGTTGGGATAAGTCGCAACCCATTCTTTGGAATGTTTCTTGCAGAAGTCGTGCAGGATATTTTGCTGGTTATAGTAGAAGTTTGGGGGCCACTTGGATGTATCAGTGAGCCAGGGAGCATCCTCTGTCATGGGCTGTTTAGGCATTCCCAAGTGGACACCGTATTGCTTTGCGCCACATACTAGAATGATTCGCTTGACATCTGAGATTGCCCCCGTCTTTTCAAGGGCGGACAGGAAGTTGGACAGCATGCGGCCGTTGACTTCCCAAGCGTCGTCTTCCTTGTCTTGGGCCAGGTAGGCGGCGAAGAAGATGTACTCTCCGCGTACACTTTTGAGGTCATTGGCCATGTCATCAGGAGAGGACTGTAGGTCAATGTGATTGTGGATGACGTTGTCGGAATAGTCTTCCTTCTTACTGCGGGAAAGGGCATGAATGGTCGGCCATTGTTGGCGGTGTTGGCTGAGTTCTGAGACAATCTCACGGCCCAGGATGCCTGGGTTCGTCAATTCAGGAATGGATGAAGCGAGAGTGATAAGTACCAGTGGCACCGGTTACTATTGCAGAGGGCATTTTGCAGCGTGGTTGTTGTATGTTTTGGTTGTTGTCTAGGTTGAGGTACTGCTATAAGAGGGTGACTGTGACCATGCATGACGTAAGGATGCTTTCATGAAGGTATGTCACAACCCAACCTCATGGATAAGCGTCCACTTGGTGAGGTAGTAGATCTGAAATGGTGATGCGTCTCCGGCTAGTCCATCCAAAGACTTGCATCGATGCGGTAATGTGTCAGTCACAAAAGTGTACTGTAATCGCGTGATCCATTCATCATGGAGGGTGCTCGGTGGATGCTTGATAGATAATTTGCAGCTACTCGAGTCGGCTGAGGATATTTGTATTGTAGAGAAAGCGCTACGAAGTTTGATTGGCGTCGTCGGATTAGAGTATATGACAGTAGCAGAATACCATGATCAACGCAGGACTACATGAACCCACGAACTCAATATTCACACATTCAGTGCATCAACCCCCAAATGGATGTTGTTTCCTTTTGCCGTGTGTTTCAGTACAGCCAGCAGTTCTCTTGTCGGGCTAGAACAAAGTGAACCCAATACGACCTAGCAGGAAATGTAGTGAATGAAGAGCACTGCATGCTCAGCCCACCCAGACATCACATGGATTTGCGTGTCTGGCAGACGTGTTTTCCAGCCTTCTAGTGTCCTCGTTCCTCGAAGACGCCCCATCGTTTACATGTTTCGTGGGTGGCGCTTGCCGCAGAACGTTTGACCGTTGTGTTCCGATATCATGCCATGACAGCTGCCACGTGGCGCGGGTGTGCAACGTAACCGTTATGCGTTTCGTATGTGTGGATGAAATGAGTGGAGGGGGCGACGTGAACCGAAGGCGCTTTCACTTGGGCGGACGCTTTTGCCATGTGAGCTCCCGGAATTGATTCTTGACCTCATCCTTGAAGTGATCAAGCGATGATGGGCCCGTCCCTACAGTGTGTTAGCAGCCGCAGTTTTGATCAGACGGGATAGAGACATACGGCCTTGGCCATTCTTCTGCTCAAAGTCTGGCAGCCTGTTGATCTTTCGATAGGCCTTTTGCACGGCGCGATTAAATCCCGGGGATCGGATGAGCTTGGAAGAGTCAGTAACTGGAGCGGTGTGTGGCAGCAAAGGGATTATCGACGTGCCTTTGCGACGGCCCAAGCCTGTTCCGAGCTGTCAGTTTGATATGTCTGTTTCGTTTGGACATGGCACATACCTCGAAGAGAGCAAACCAAGGTGCAACCATGGCGTATTCAATGTGACATTCACAGGTGGCAGTAGCTGCTACGGCAAAGTAGCAGGTGTACGCAGGCGTTGCGTTTGTTGGCCGAGGGAGGATGGTGGCGACGGCGTGCGGGTGTGGTGGGTGTGGTGGACGCAGGGCGCGGAAACAACCAGATGGACAGGGAATGGGCCTGCCAGCAATTGTGACACGACGACGGCGCCTGACGTTTGCAAGTGGATCCCCACTCCAGCAATTGTTTCCTCTGCTGTGCTACAAAGTGCTGCGCTCCAGACATGACATGCATATCACCTGGCCCACGGCTACATTTTTCCATCCGTCGCTGACACCCCCGCCAGCTGCTCCACTACGAGGCTCGCCTGCAGCCCCTCGTCGTCTAGACCATCTTTCGCTCGACCTGGTTCTTGGACACTACACTACTACCATCGCAGCAGACATCGACCTAGGGAGGCCCCGGACCCCCACGAGTAGTCGCACACGTGTCAGTGGAGGCATAACATCTGCCGCACTCCACTCTCCAGCCTATCTTTCCTTTCTTGGGCGCGCCACGACCTGCACCTAACCGTCTCCCGTCACCATTCCGTCTTCAAACTTTCCTGTCCCTCCATTGCCAGAACCCGAATCATCCCACCACAGCACCGCAAACTTCTTCAAACTGCATAAACTCCGCGCCCTCCGGCGCAAGGCGAAGCTCAAGGGCGTCCTCATCAGGACCGACCCAGCCATGGCCACGGCCGGCGTTCCCATTTCCCCCTCGTCGTCCAAGCGCTCCCGTAGCAAGGACAGCACGCGATCAGTCACCACCTCGTCCCTCAACACGCCCGCCGCCAACACGCCCTCTGCAAGCACCAGCAGTCTCGTCATCAACTCGTCCGTCACAAGCACCCCAGCCACAGGCCATGCACATGGCCACGATGCTGTCCCGTATCCCGCCTTCCTGACGTCGCCCAAGGACATTCACACCAAATGGAATCGCTTGGAGATGGCCCAGGTCGAGCGCCTGAGGGACAGCACCCAGGCCGGCGCTTCGGAAGAGGCTCCCAAGTGGGCGAGGTGCTTCGGCGAGGATTATGCCAACCGTAATCGCTACATCAACGTTGACCCATACCAATCCAACAGAGTCCACCTTGAGGTACCAGACGGCCATTTCGACTACATCAATGCCTCGCCCATAGTGCTCGAGACGACAAAGTCTGCGACGGAGCTCAAGTACATTGCAACACAAGGACCCAAAGCAGACAGCTGGTCGCACATCTGGCGCATGATCTGGAAGGAGAACCAGTCGCCCGCAGTCATTGTAATGCTGACCCAGACCCACGAGGCGAACCGAGAGAAATGCTACCCCTACTACCCGCAATCCTTGTCGAATCCAGATATGCGCATCAACGAGCACGACGAGTTTCAAGACGGCTTCATACACAATCTCCACCTAGCCTCGTACACGACAGACGAAGAGGCTAGGACACAAGTAAGGGAAATCGACATGACAACAGATGATGGCAGTGAGTCGAAAAAAATCTGGCATCTGCTCTTTGCTGGCTGGCCTGATTTCTCCGTGCCTGAAGGCGACGATCGCGCTGGTATGCTGAAGCTAGTGGATATATCGCGGTCCAAGAACACGGACAATTCGACCAACCCACGAATCGTTCACTGCAGTGCAGGTATCGGCCGCAGCGGAACCTTTATCGCGCTTGATTGGCTCATGCAGGAGCTCCAAGAGGGCGCACTGGACGATGTACCTGACGACGAAGATCCTATATTAAAGGTTGTCGAGATGCTCAGAGACCAGCGAGCTGGCATGGTTCAGTCCAAGGTTCAGTTTCTCTTCATCTACGATGTCCTCCGTGAGCAATGGTGTGAACGGTGGATCTCTCAGCATCCGGACGAAGCAAACCGACTCGGTCTCGCCACTGCAGCAGCTCCTTCTGACGGTGTAGAAATTACTTCTGACAATGAGCAACCTGCACTCAAGCGCCAGAAATCGATACACAATAGCGAAGCCGCCGAGAGCCTCCAGCTCCCACTACTAGCATCACGACCGTCGAGTTCACGGGGCGCTTCGAGTTCACCAGCGCCAGACGCACGCGCACAGTTAGAGGCTGAACTTCAGGAGGCCGACCTGGAGTACGAGAAGGGCAAGACTTAGTGGTTTTTACCAAGAGCTCGTCGGACGCACATCAAGGTGTCATCATGGATTTCATCTCCAGTCGTCCATTCATATCATACCTTCGATATTGTCCCGCCTTCTGATCCTGGCACTCCGCCTATGATCGTGGTTACTGGCGTGGACAGCGATATTGAGCAGCAGGACGGTGCTGTCGATCTTGAAGCAAACGATCAACCCCCTGCTTACAGTCGCGCACCCCCTGAAATCACCTTGCTAGATTCACGTCCTGTTTTCGCGTACATACGCGGCCCTCAACATATCGTTTTGTTGACAATGGGTGTTATTTCGGTCTTGGTTGTTGGCTTTATGTTTGTGTACTGGGATACTCTAGATAGAGTTTAATTGTGTGTGTTTTTTTATGTAGGGAAGCGGGAAGCATAGCGTTGCGAAATACCCCTTGAATTGGGTCGGTTTGGTTTCGGTCACTGCGGCGGTAAGCAAAGCGAAAGCAATTTAGCCTACATTTCGCCTTCATTATGGGTAATTTCAAACTCCCATTGTCCGCTGTCTTTTTGGTCTCTGTATTCGTCTTTGGTTAGTGATGCTGTTCTTATCCGCCTGCTGCTTAGCACTACTAACAAGTTCACGTTTTCTCATATACCTCAATCCAAAGAACACCCTAAAGATATTCGTTAGAACTACAGATGAGAGACCTGAATAACATAGACATTGGTATGCCCTAGAGTATGTTTTGGATACTCCGTGTCGAACGGGGCAACTACGTATACCTGTCTTCTTACGAAACACAACTACGGTCAAACATTAGGGCTTACTTGCTCGACTGCCTCCCAACGTCGCTCCGCTCCCGTAAATCTAGACTCCCGGACAAAGATCTACCATGTTTAGTCAACAGGATTGCCCAAGAAATGCTGATGTATTGTAAAGCATGCACATGTACCCGGTACAGTATCCACATTACCCCGGATTACTATCTCGCATTCCCACTCCGATGTCTTCTTAGTAAGGACCACGGAATAGTTCCGTGTCGGACTCCCCGTTGCTTGCTCAGCTTCATGACTCATGCTGGCTCGCAGGTAGATGAGCTGCTTTGTGGAACAATCTGCTCATCGAATATACTTGCATCCGTCCGCTTTCTACACAGAACAATCCTTGTCGTAAAGGCAGTCGCTGGACTGCACATCCATTTGCGGAACGACAAGGCACTGCGAGTAACGTTAGAGTGCGCCGTGGCGTTGGCCTAGATGAGAAATGGACCTTGGTGTTCAAGACGTGGATCTCTTTCAGCTCGAGTCGCCTCAAGTAGCTGATACACGCCACTCCAATCAACCTTACATACTAACCGACTGGCTAGCTCACCAGCTGCCCATTCGTCTACCTATCTACGCTCTCTACTACTAAGCAGCCACAAGATTGCTGTTCCGCACCTCCAGCCATGTCATCAATTCCATACAGCCATCTCACCCCCCAAAAAAACTAGCAGTCAGGACGTGTCATCTTGCTCTCCAGTGGAGCGACTTGGCAAAAGATGATGGCCTCGACTTGGATTCAGGTTGCTGTCTGTCTCGCTTATCGTGAGTTGTTCATGGCTGATTGGTTCGCGGTGTTTCTTGCGGGAAGTGCACGATCGGTGTGGGGAGCGGGCGCATGT